TCTCTCTCTCTCTCTCTCTCTCTCTCTCTCTCTCTCTCTCTCTCTCTCTCTCTCTCTCTCTGTTTCTCTGTCTTTGCTACATCCCCAGCCTGAGTACTTGTTTTAGGGTCCTTCTGATTAAATCACACATGTTGTATTTTAATACTTCAATGCTGTGTTGTACCAGGAAAAAGCTTCCACAGGAGAACATCGGCCTGACCATTTCTACCTGTGTTAAAGGGGTGATTCCAATTCCAGATCACAAGCTTAGTAATCCTAGTTCCCTCAACAATCATTTTTAAAATGATAAAATGTTTAATTTCCATTTATCTGATTTCTCTTCTCTCCATTAATTAGTTTCATTTTGGACAGGGACAAGCAGGTAAGTCTGCACACTGACCCCACAACACCAGCACCGGGGCTACGAGGTCCCCACGGATGAGAAGCCTGGGCTGCTACCGACTTCCTCTTGGGCTTGAAGGCAAAGCCCAGCTCCAATCCACTCTGGTAAAACTCAGTGGAGAGCAGGCTCACCAACACCGCTTTAAAGCAGCTTCCCAGCTTGGTGCATCTCGCTTCCTTATCAGGGCAATAGCAGCACGCGTCTCCCCTACAACAAGACTGAAAATTTTAGAATCAACTTCAGCAAGAGGAAAAAAGTCGTGTATCTGAGCACACTGCTCATGTTGATGACCGCCCCACTTCAGGGCACAGTGTCTCAAGGTTCTCAATGGCCAAGGCTTTTCAGGAACCCTTTCCAAGAGAAGAAACAGCACAGGGGCACAGTCGCCCCCTGCATCAATCAAGAAGCTTAGAGTGGCGGTGGTGGTTTCTTGACTACCTGGCTGGAGGGTCATGTGGCCCAGTACTTCTGATCCCCTAGGTAGTTCTGGTCGCAGGGCCGCGAATAAACAGCTTACCTTTATAACTTCACTCAGGCAAACAGGAGCTTGAAATGGCCTCAGTCTTGGGAACATTCAAGCAAACCCTACTGATGGTGTAACTTGTCGCCAATAACATTGGTGTCTCCTGCACCCTGGCGCAACACTACACATTCTCTTGAGTCATCACTGCCAGTCTTCACCCTCTAGGGGAAAAGCTGGGACACTTCCTGAACTGGAACTGTGTTGTTAAAGGGAATCATCTCAGCGCTTGTCATGTATGCTGTAGAAATCTGGGTATTTCTACTGATTTTGTTTTTCTACCCAAGGATGTTCATTCACTTTTGTTTTGAAATGCGTTTCCACTGACACCAGGCCTTTGCATTCCCATTCCTCTGCCTGGTAGTACAGCTGTGGTCTTCGGTAACTCTACCACTCTCCGTACCTGAGTCGCCAGCCAAGCTGGCAGTGCAGGGATGCTGCACTTGGCCCAGTTGAGGGCCTCTGCAAGGCAGAATTCCTCACACTGCCCCCTCAGCCTCTCCCACTCCAGGGACAGCAAAGCCACAAGGGAGCCCCTCGCCCAGGCCACCCGAGGCCACTGCTCACAGAAGACACCTCTCCCTTCCATGAGTATGTCAAGCATCACAAGCAGCACGGATCTGAGGACCAGCCCCATGTTTTTTAACAGAGGAGAGTAACACTCGTCCCTTGCTGCTGTCAGTCTGAAATCAGCCTCTTCACTGTACTTAGGACTACAATGTTATGCTGTGTCATCAGAGGTATTAAAGAACACCAGGTCTTTAGGTCACCAGAAACTAGTTTTTAAAACTCTAGTTCCTAACGAGGCATGGCGGTGATCTCAGCACTTGGGAGGCTGGGGCAGAAGGATTGCTGTGAACTTGAGCCCTGCCTGGGCTACAAAGTGAACTCAAGGCCAGCTTGAAGTGCATAGTGAGACCTTGTCTCAAAAGGACAACAACAACTACAAAAAGATGTACAACCACAAAAGTCTAGTTCCTATATGGAAGCACTTGGTTTCATTAGAGCAATCATCCTGTAACTTGCACAAACAAATCCCAAACCAGAAAGCTCCACATCAATCTAAGTGACGCACTCACATCGAGGCACTCCTTCGTACTCCACCCCTGGCATTTGGTGGCAATTGCTGGCATCCTGCCTGTAATCATTTCCTTTTTTCCTCTAAAATATGTTCAGCAAGTTGACTTTCCAAATACCTTAGATGCAAACATTACTATTCTGGTACCTCAGGTGCATAAAGACCACAGAGTTTGAAAAGCCACATGAGGTCCTGGACCTTCAATTCGGGCTGGAATTAATGTGCACACAAACAAGAACATCAACCATATTGAGGCAGCCACTACATCTCTCACTTCACAATAATCTCTTTGCCTAAGTATTCTTCTCCATTCTCCTGCAACTTGGGTACAGAGAAGCTATGTCCCATTTCTTAAGCCACAAGCACGAAGTGGTGCCTGCAGTATCTAAACTCAGGACTCCAGTGCCTGTGCTCACCATACCGCAGCTTATGAAAAAGGAAGGTCAGCCCAGGGAAGGGACCATTTCAGTTGCATACCTCATACAGCTCGATAACGATGTTCCCCATTTGCCCTCGGCTGCTCTGCACGTTCTCCATGGCCAGGGTGAAGTAGACCCCACGGGTGTCCGAGATGTAGAGGTTGTAGGTGTCGTTCTGGTTCCACTCCTGGACCGCGGCGAACACTTGGTTCTCGTCTGTGCTGATGATGTGCATGTCCTGTGAGGAAAAGGAAGGCCCGTCAGGCAGCAGATCTCCGGGTCTCCCTGCCCATCGGGACCCCAAAGAGCTACTGTGACTTATGAAACCGTAGAGAAAAAGCTTGAGTGATAGGCAGCGAAAAACGCTTCAGTGCCAGACCAAGACTACAAATTATGCGCTTCATGATTTCTGCTCTTGCCAAGTGACAGGAAGATGAGTGTCAGGGGCTTTGGGGGTAGTATTTTGCCTGGCTTCAAGAGATTCATCCACTTTCGTTTTTTATTTTTATATCTGAAAATTAGTGTTAGTGATAACAGGTTTGTTAGAGAAAGCTCACACATGCAAAGAAGACAGGCCATATCTTGTCTTCTGATCTTAACTTTTGTTTATAAATTTTACCATGCAGTTGTTCATGCATTTTACTTTACAGCCTTCAGCATCAGGCACAGCTGACGTGTCAGGCTCTAAATCCCTCACACTGCTTCAACTACAGCCGCACCACATGAATCCATTGTGTGCACTGGAGTTCTCTGCAGTACTTTAGAAGTAAACGTTGAGGAAGAATGCGATGCTTTTACGTTTAAGTCACGTTTGAAAATCACTGATATAGAAGACCCCCAGCCCAGGGACATTCTACAACACCCAACCTGAAATGTAGTGTGTTAAGCCCTACAGCACTGCCAAGCCAGCTATGTGGCCGTGTAACTGTCAGTCTTCCCATACGTTAATTTTCTCTGCTTCAAAATGAAAAGCTTGCTGCTTTACATCTGGGTATTTTTTAAGTCATATTGATGTCTTTTTTCCCAATAGAAATGAAAATAATTCTGCAATGAAGATGGCATGATTATGTTGATTCTACTGAAGGACAAAGTAGGGGACACCGAAATTTACCAATTTGCTTCTGATTACATAGCTTGTAAATGGCAGGACTAGGTTTTAAGCCTCTGGAATTTGGCTAACAGAGTGATTAGCTTCTCACCATTTGGAAACGTAGCCTCTGCATCAGAGATTTAGAACAGATGGCCAGTGGAATCAACAATGGTCGCAAGACACTCGTTTGACCATACTCTGTGCTGAATATCTGAATCCCTGGCATTTTAGCAGCAGCAGCACCACTGGGGGATCTCAGCCTTGCATGCCCACATTTTCTTGTTATCTACCACTTACATACTCTCATTACCTGCCTAATCCTTGAAGTCACTTTATTTTATAATCTTGATCTGGGTGATTCCTAAAACAAAACCTCATAGCCCACAACTCAAAAAATTTACAAGGGCAGGTTGCACACACACTTAGGCTCTGTATGCGGAGGACAGAGATCTAAGCCCTTTATCTCAGGAGCTTATGCTGTCACAACACGTTGGCATAAAATTGCTGTATCTTAAATACGCAGCTAGCTCCACATCCCAGAAGTGATCACAGAAGGAGAATTACTTTTGCCCTGTGGTGGAACACAGTGTGACAGGACCCCAAGAAACTGTGGCTGACAGTAAGTTAACAGTCGAGCTGGGTTCAGCCTCTGGTTTATTTGACAAATATTTTCTAGAAATCATTCCAAGTAAAAAGGTCAGGAATGCCTTTGATGTCAGCACCAGGAACAGCACCACGAAAATGACTCATAAAGGAACTATTCCATTTAATTTGGGCAACTGGAAGATAGGAGAAACAGGAAGAAGAAACCCTAGATATTTTGCTGCAGATCTGTTGTCCAAAAGCCGCTGGCCTTGAACTCTCTAGGTCACCTTGACTAAGACCTTGCTGTTTGCTCATCTGTGTTTACACATCTTGTAGCATTATAGTTTCCTGCTGAGCTGCTTGAAAATAGAAAGAAGGCTTCCCCTCAAAACCCATGTGGGGAAAGCACGTTGTGTTGGTGTGCAGTGAATGCCCAAGGACTCAGTGGGAGGGGAAAGGGCAGTTGTAGCAAATAGAGATTAAATTCACCCTATACAAAATGCAATGGAAAAGCCTGGCTTTCTCCAGATGTTTTGGTCATAAAAATGAACGACTAAGTTACTTGAGACTAAGTTAAGGTAAATTAAATGGAAATAAACAACTGAAAACACCAGGCCATGGTCAAAATTAGAGGCATCCAGGTTTGCTGTGAGTACACATTTAGAAACTACCCCTTGGGCTCCGTCACCTGTGGAACAGCTATCCGGACTGCAGGATAAGAGACTGCTCTCTGGCATCTAAGATTCTAGGAAATCTGCTTGAAAATCCCTCAGCTTGCCAAAGCTGCCTAGCTAGCAATCAATGTTATTAAAATTTACACCCAACACAATCTTAATTCAGAATCTACATTTTTAAGCCACACGTCAATAAAGAATACAACATCACTACATAAAAAAATAACATGGAGATCTTCGCGTGCAACTCAAGCTTTTTCTGCTTCATATTCTTTTCTTTTCTTCTTTGCATATCCTTTATTTTATAAGAAACAGGCTCCCACTATGAGCTCTAGGCTGGGAGTGGATAACTGGGAGTTAACCCACAGGCTCTAGTGGTCTAAGTGTCTGGGATTACGCATACACACACACACACACACACACACACACACACACACCACCATGCCCAGGTCGATCCAGACATCTCAAAAGGATGTGCACCCCTTCCTCATGCATCCCCCCACTTGAGATAACGATCCTCCATGCCTGGTGGGGAATCTTAGATGCTACCATCTGGATAAGCCCTCCAAATGAATCTAGTTATAGCTAAACCTTAGGAAATCACTCCTTGAGAAACCCTGAGCCTTGTGACCCCTTTCTAAATAGATCTTATGATTAAGTAGAGGTCAGCCAGTAACAGCTACGATCTCTAGCCTGCAGGGACAAATAAGTGCATATTATTAAATAAAGCTGGCCCAACAGGACTTGCAGCAATAAGAAAGCTTCTCTTGACTCTGGCTACCTCAGTCTAAGTCTAAGGCATGTGTCCCTCCCCTCCCCGACGGTTCTAAGAACATACAAAGATAAATCTGCTGATGAAGGGTGAAACTGAGGGAGGGAAAATGCAGTGAACACACTCATATTGAGATCTTGCAAAACTTTGTATTTGAAGAATGTAAAATAAATCATATAAGTGTTTGTATTTGGCAAGTAATGATAAGTAACACTCCCCTCTTCCCTGCCAACAATAATTTAAGAGAATCATGGGTGCTCTGTCAAAATTCAAACTTGTGACTTCTTAGATGAATGATGGTTGAAACTGTCTCCATGTTTTTGAAACATTTTCCTACAATCTGGGCATATGATGGCGTCACTGATTATACAGTCACCTCTGTTACTAAGCATTTTCTATGTGCCAAATGCCACATCTGAGAGATGGGGAGCAGGGTAGAACCTGATTCCATAAAGGCACCTGACAGTGGATCCGTCACAGTTTCTGGTGACCTTTTTCAGATTGACCAAGCTCTGCACTAGAGACACCAAATATGGTGAGTGGGATGCAGAGGCTTACAAAGAAGAGAGAAGATTCCACTTACAGGCATATAAATGTATGCAGCTCTGTACAGCTCAACAGCAGGTCTCCTCTGCTAGAAGTTGGACAGAGATGGCTGGCTTGATCCCAAGGGGCTTGGGGGACACCTAACCTGTTCTCCCAAGGTAGTACACAGTTTGCCCTATGTGTTAGGTGAGAGAAGGCATGCTCAGAGTTGCTCCATGCCAAGGTCAGGCTCTTCAGTGACCTCTTTCATCATGGAATCAGTGTGAGGAGGGGATCTAGTGGGGCAATGCCAGACCCAAGGGAGGAAACGTACAGGACACTGCCTTACCCTAGGTAATTATGCCTGAGGGGCTGAACTAAGGCAGCAGGTTCTTCATGAGACCCCTGTGAAACGGGCTGATGAGGGTAAAGGTAAATTACACAGGGGAGCTGCAGACGGACATATCAGCAGTGCTTCAGATATTTGACCTGCACAACTGTGTGCTTTTTCTTTACAGTCATGGTTAAGGAGGCACTTGTACGATTATTTAAGGATGCCTTCCTTGCTCATTAGACCATAAGATTCTAGAAGGCAGAACACTGTCATTCTCATTTTATCTCTAGTATTTGCAGGGCATCTGGCCCATAGTAGACATATAATAAAAGTCTACACAATAAGTCTTGGAGTCTGGACATTAGGAGAAGAGACAAATGAGGCATAAGCAACATATGGTGGTGGCTTGGAGTCAGTCATAGGCTGGTGACATGGGATTTTTTCAAAAGAAGATTTCAATTCCCTTCAAATGGGCAGTTGACTACATGGAGAGCACCATGGAGAGACGCTGGCTGTGGACGTGGATGTAGTATTGACCTGTATGAGAGACAGGATGAGGTCAGTGGGGGACATGGGAGTGTATGCAAGAATTCAGGAGTGTCAACATGTAGAGTAAGGCCAGAAGGGGGACAGCCAAAGCAGGAAGTGGGAATAAAATGCTGTCAAGGAGAGGAGGATCCAATGTGGAATTTTTGTGTCATGTGCTCCAGAGATGAACAAACAACAGAAATGGCTATTACATTTGCCTGTAGGTGGCCACTGGTGACAGTAGCTGGAGGATTTTTTTGTGAAATAGAACATATGTGGATGGGGGTAGAGAATGCGCGCCACTGGGTCGAAGAGTGAACAGAAGGTGAGAAAAGAAGTTGCAATTGCAGATGGCTTTTTGAGAAGTGAGGCTGTGACACAGCATCGGAGGATAAATTTGTACAAGTGTAAAATCTAAGGTCACCATTATTGAAATAAATTTCCTAAGACATATTCCTCTCTCCTCTCTTTTATCATTCAAAGTAGGATAAATTACATTCTACTGTCAAATAACAACCATCTACTCAGACTTAGGTAAGAAAACACTACTGCAAGAATACCCAGCTGATAATATCTGTAAGCACCGCAGAGGGAAGGTGGAAAAAATGGCTTTTGTTGGGAAAAAGTATAATATAGCTGGGAAGAACTGGGAGGCGGTGGTGTATGGGCAGCCTGAAGGAAGAGCAGAAGGGGACATCGGCTTCTCTGGGGTCCAGTGACTCTCCAAGGGGCAGTTAATAGAGGCTGCTGTCCTTCCAACATTCGTTAAGCTTCCAGGACTTGCAAAAGCTCAAGTATGAGCCCAAAGTTCTGAGGCACTGGGTAAGAGGAAAGCCAAGGTTCATTTTGGTCAAGCCGAGTATCAGACATTCCATCCAGACCAGCCAGCAGGACGACACTCAACTGATCACTTAGGAGATATGGGATGAGAATCTGGCCTTGCTACAGGTAAACCAGGCAGATGTGGGAGTCGCGTGGTGGGAGCTGTTCTTTGTAGAAGGCATTTCCCAAGAGCAAAGCATCAGCAGGGCGTTCCCTAACCTCTGCTCTGCTCCACAGTGCTGGGCTCAAAGCTCAACGCACTAATGACCTGAGTCCCCCACAGCAAGCACACACACACACACACGCGCGCGCAATTTCCTCCCATGTACATGACTATCAAAGTAGCAAGTTAAGAATAGAGCCAGAAACTAGGGGTCAGAAGAGGGCCTACCACACGAGGGGCAAAGGGAGAGTCAGGCAGCATCGGCACTGAAGTCGGCAAGATGCGATTCCACCTTGAACACTGAGCTCCGTGCTAGGCAGGCTAAGAGCACCAGAATTACTTAACTGGGGTCACATGTGTCCCTTAGATTTGTTAAGCACTGTAGTAAGCACTTTAGTACTCATCGAATGCTGAAGACTTTGTCGCTCAACATTCTAATCCCCATTTCACAGCGCTGAGCTCATGGCTAAGTAAGTGGCAGAGCTGGGAGGAAAGCTCAGGATACCTGCTCAGAAAGTCAAGTGCTGCCCCCAGGGACACCACTAGTCCCTGTCATCTGTCACCACTCCCTCCCCAGGACCTTGCTTTTTATGCCCACCAACTGAAGTGCCGGCCGACTCCTGGGTATGGAGTTAGGAAGAGCACAGCCCAAAGCTGCTCCGCTGAGTTCTCCACATCACGCAGCTGTGCGGTGCGTGCTTGGAACACACAGGGAGGCCTTGAGCTGAGCTATGCGGGCACTGAAGGCAGGGCGCGTTCCACACTGACTTTTAATCCAGATGCCTGCAAGCCCTCAGTGCTGCAGGGAACAGCAGCAACTTGCCTCAATGGCATTTCCATTTTTAAACCACACACAGCACCGACCTTCTTCCACCCTGTCTCCACCTCATCAGTCTCGACTATGAAAAGCTGGGCCGATACCAGCTAGTAAAGGGGATCAATAGCTCTCCAGCTACATTCACAGCAGCCCTCGTACTAATGAGGAGCTGCTCCGGACGGGGCCCGCGGACAGGCAGCCTGCGTGGGCGTCCTTCCCCCACAATATGCCGCCGTGGCTCGCTGGTCATTAGCGAGGAGCTCTAGGGTAGTGATCAGTTCCAGAGCTCATTTGTCCTCACACGCAGCCGCGCTGCCCAGGCCAATGAAATGTTTGTTTTCGTAAGAAGGTTAAAATACGTAAAATATGCCCACACACAGAGGCCAAATGAGTCCTACACGGGGAGACACCTTGGAAAGTTCCCGAAACTCATTTCCTAGGCCAGTGCTTAGAGCCTTCAGGTTACTGCGGAGGGGCGTTCTCTTTTAGGAAAAGGATGAGTCTGGGTCTTCTCTCTCTAACTGTCTCTAGGCAGGACCCTCCTTTCCTGATTCAGCTGAGAAAGTCTGGCGGGCACATTCTACAACTGCGACTTTAACCAGCGGTTCTGTGGACCCCGATCACAGTGAAGGAAGAGAAAGCGAGGAACTGGTTCTCCCAGCCCCCGGACTTCTTAAGGTGAGCCCTGCCCAGCCACCGACTCCTCTGGCTCTCCACAGTGCAGGCTCTCGAGATGGTTTGTGTCATTTGAACCATGCTCGCTCTTAAAATCGGGCCTGCAAGGGATGGCTGGACCTTTGGCCACATGGACGGAGTCAGCTAACAGTGGGTGCAAAGTGCAGGGAGGCCTGGAAATGTGCTACATGCACTCGACCTGACCTTACTGTCATTATTCTCGAACCAACAAAGTACAATATCTAGTCCCATAATAGAGAACTGTTACAGTATAGGTCTAAGTACTTCAATGTTATATAAGTAGCAAAAGTGTTCATATTCTAGCAGGTGTTGTAGGTAATCCACAAGAGATCTGTGCTATGCAAAAGGTATGTGTAGATTATGCAGAGCCACTACCCCACGTTATGGAAAGGACTTGGCCATCCCCAGACTTGGGCGTTCACAAGGTCCTGGATCCCATATGCCAAGGAACCACTGCCGTCTGCTCAGCTCCCTTCCCACCCTTGCTCACAGGGATAGCTGCTTCTCCTCTTTATAACAGTTTAATATTTTCTGTAGGAAAGAGTCCTCACTATCTACGTTTGAGTATTTTCACCCATTATGCCAAGGTGGTCCTCAACCTTCCCTGTGTCCACAGCACGCCATTGAGCATCTGTCTTCTCTTCCAGACTGAGCTCCAGGAAGGCAGCAGCCAACTGCATCTTCCTTCATTCTCCACCCAAAGCATTGGCTCAGCGCCTGCACAAGTCCCTCCTTGAATGGAAGAAAGACTAGATGGACGGGTGTGTAAAAGAGGAAGCAGACGTGCAAACCAGGGAATGAACGCATACATGCACGAAGAGCAGAAAGAACAGAAACACCAGGGACGGAGAATCAACCGCATCCTTTCTCTCTAATCTCACTTCCGTGTCTATTTTGCCTCTCACAACACACGTTCTGACCATCAGCTCAGAGGTGCACACTTTGCCACCTTCACCTGGTATGTGTCCCAACCAGAAACGCTTCTCTGTGGACTCCTTAAGTGACAATTATGTCCTGTCCTGCTCACACTGAGGGCATTAGCTCTGTCGCCCTGAAGCAGATGTTCAAGAGGAATGGTGTCCACACAGTAGGTTGTATAATGCTCCAACGACAGAGTTGCAGTGTCACCAAATGATCTGAATATCCCAGTAAATGGTCTCATCTTAATTAGTCATAGCAGTAGAAAGGAGTGGAAATGTAAACCATGTGCTTGCACTTCCCCTTGCAATGTAGGGACAGCAAGAAAGCCACCAGCTTGGCCTGTGCAAGGTCCTGAGTTCAATCCATGATACCAAAAAAAAGAATAAAGGGGGCTGGGGAAGGCGATGAAAATAAATTAGCAGGTGCTATGTGCAGTGAAGGTAAACATCCTGTACTGCAAGCATGCGCTAATAAAAATTAAAATTAAACAAATAAGGCCTTTGCAAAAGAAGTGGGCTCAGAAGAGATTTTGAAGCCTAGCTGTGTTCACCGCTACCTCTGGGAGAGGGCCCAAGGCCATGCCAGATGTTCGAGCCACAGGAAGTCAGAGCTCAGGCCCACTGGAAGGCGAACATCGACACCAGGCTCAGCAACGAGAGCGGTGGCCAAGCACCCTGACGTAGGTCAGGGGGAACATCAAGAGTCTTCCAACCCTGCTCAGGCCTCCCACCATGCACCACGGCAGCCAGCCCAGCTGTAGGGCAGCGGTTCAAGCCAAGCCATACCTTTGGCAAGGAGTACTTGGGCAGCTTTATCTGAGCAAAGGCCTCTCTTCGGTAGGACACGTAGTAGCTGGCTCTTCCACCAGTTGTGACCTGGATCATGGGGGAAACACAAAGAAGTTAGATGGGACCGAAGATCATGGACATGTGGTGAAGTACCAGGCTCTAGACCAACAACCAGGGCAGGTTTGTCATTACCTTTTAGAGAATGTTCCCTTCCTGACTTTGAGGCTCCAATCCCATAAAACTCTGTGTTGTTCCAGGTTCATGGCCCTGACATAACTAAGGCAGTGGGGAGACAACCTTTCTGCTGGCCGCCATGCTTTGCGTGAGCAGGAATTAACTCTGCATTTTGGACAATGGAGGGGCCATCGACATGGACTGCACCCATGTTCTGTTTATTTTTAATAGTTTATTCATCCTCTGCAACCATGACACAGTTCTCCAAGGTCTTTTTTGTGCATCTAAATAGTTACCATTGCTCAAAAGTCTTATTACCGTGGACTGTACCTTCACCTCCCCTCAGAGCACCTTCTGCTCTTCCTGTCTCTAACACTACGTGTTGAGCAGATGTTCATCGCTGCTGTCTGTATACAAGTTGCTTAAGGCAATGGAACTCTACAGAAAAGACTCCAGCATTGAAATTCACAAGTCCTGGGTTTGAAACACAGCTCTGCTGTCTTCCAGCTGGGTGTGGGAAGAGTGTGACAGGGACAAGCCTGTCTTAGGAGACAGTGGAGTATTCATTAGATGACTTGTGAACTACTCCAAGAGATGGTCCCCTGCCCAGGCTTTCTGCAAAGTCCTCGCCAACGTGGCACAGCTCTGCAGGTGGCAGCGCTATGCCTAGTTGTCCTAACTCGAGGGAAATTAACATTCACAGAGAAGTTAACAGGGCCTGTTCAGAGAGAATAGCAGGACCATAAGCAGGACCAAGCTGCTGTGCTGAGGGAGCCTTTGCTCCCAGCACACACCCCGCCCTCAGGGAGGCCCAGGCCGTGGCTGGTGCCCAGCCAGGCTGCCCACTCAGTCCTGCATAGGCTTCTGTCCACAGCAAGTGCAGGGAGCAGAACAGACCCTGCACCTCTACTAGAGACCACCCTTTGCTCCTGCCTCCTAGAGAGGCCTCTCCACCATTGTGGCCTTTTGCCTTTGCAAATATCGGAAGCCCACAGAGCGCATGGCCCAAGCTGCCAGGTACCACAGATGTCAGAATCAATGCAGAGCAGAGCTGCGGGAGAACTGTGGTGCCCAGGCGTGGTCTGGGAAGCTCGGAGAAGGAAAGGCTGGTTTGCTGTGGGATGGCCAGGGGCATTCTAGGTCTCTGTTTTCTAATTAGAGCCATTCTTATATTGTGTCACTAATCATTTCTATTTTGGCGAGATACTGCCGTGAACTGCTGTTGCTCTGTTGTTGTGAGGGGCATTGGTGCATTAAAATTAGCAAGTGCTAACGAGTCTTTCTTACTTCTTTTTAAAGTAAGCCTTTAGCTTTAGCCTTAGATTAAAAAATAATTTTTGGATCTGGATACACAGTCACCCTTAGTCACTGCAGGATCCTATTTATTTGATTTGGTTTTATTTTTAAATATAAAAAGAATCCGTGTAAGCACACCTGCCAATTGAAGAACTCAATCAACAGTTTAAAGTTTAATATCCCTCAGAATCACTTTGCTGAAACTCATACTGCCGGGTCCCAGCTCCGAGTCAACAGAACTGGGTGAGAGTTTCATTTTCTCTTCCACTAAAGTTCCGGGCGACACTGCTGCTGGTCTGGGGAGCCCGCCTTGAGCACCACAGAACTGGGCCCTCAGCAGCTGTGAGCCAGCCCTCCTGAGTGCCTCACTGCCCTGGGCCTGCCTCCTCTCCAGGTCAGTCTGGTTCTCTGAACTCCATTTTAAAGTGATGAAAAAGCTCTAAAATATTGAGGTGAAATTCATGTAAGTCACCCTCACCAGTAAAACATGCACAGCTCAACCGCACTTAGTGTGCTCACAAAGTTGCCCAGTCATTCCCTGGCTTTGTCCTGACAGGCTCCTGTCACCTCCAAGGAAGAACCTCCTCCCACTACTAAGCAGCTTTTTTTTTTTTTGGTGGAACCAGGGATTGAACTCAGGCCCCTGCACTTAACCAGGGAAGCGCTTATTCCACTGAGCCATCTCCCCAGCCTATTTATTTATTTATTTATTTATTTATTTATTTATTACTACTAAGCTTTTGATGCCCCAGAATATACCCTCTGGTCACCTATCATATGATTAAAACCCAGCTCTCTGTACAGAACCCCCTGGGACCAAACATGCACCCAGGGAAGCGGACCTGCGTCCTAGGAGACACGCCCCTGAGGCTGGCCAGGTGGAGACTTCCTCCCAGCCCCAGCTGCATCCGCCAGGAATGTGACTGCAGACACATGCCGCTCTCCAGCACTGCCAGGGCCCACCTAGGCTTCTGAGTCACCGAGGGCTGAAGGAGAGCAAGGTGCTGTGTTTGCAGGGACGATCCTCCCCAACCACCGCCTTGCGCCTCAGCTCCGCTGCACCTTGGGCTGCTCTGTACACACCCAGATCGTCTCTCTCACAACCTGTGGAAGTTCCCTATTCAGAAGAGAACACAGTAACTGTGCTTCAGGGGTGCTGAGCAAGGGCCTAAGCCGTGAAGCGGCCACAAGAAGAGAGCGAGACCAGAGGTTCTCCAAGCATAATCCGAGTCTCTAAAGGCATCTCTATGGCTCCTGCCACCCTCCTTTGGTCCTGTGTCCCTCCAGCCAAGGCTGCAAACCTCTGTGAACTCATGAATTCACAGAAGGGATTTCTGATGCCACCGATTCATTGTAATTTCTCCCGACAATCAACTCTTGAGCTTTTTGAAAAATCATTATTATTTTTGAGACAGGTTATTGCAGCACAGCCTGGAATCTGCACGCCTCCTGCTGCAGGCCGGGGTCACAGGCATGAGCCACCACCCCCGGCTGCGGTTCCCCTCGGAGTGCACACGTTGTCTGTGTGCCTGGGACTATTCGTGTCTTACTACAACGCTGTGGCCTTCTTAATTCCTGTATGATGCTGCTTCTACAGTTTGAATGTTTGTGCCGTCTCCAACATTTATGTTGCAATTAAATGCTCAATGCAATTGTATCAAAAGTTGCATCCCTTCAGGAAGCAGTGAGGCCAGTAGGGCCCTTCTCTTGCGGTGGGATGAGACGAGTGCCTTACGGTGGCTGCAGGGATGACAGCAGCCTTCTCCTGCCTCTCTCTCCCTTCTGCCGCGTGTGGCCATGACAAGCCAGGCACCACCTTGCAAGCAGTGCTGGGCCCTGCCAGACACCAAGCCTCATGATCACGCTTTGATCTTGGACTTCTCAGTCTCTATGGAAACTGCGAAATAAACTTTTCTTGTTGATAAAGTACTCAGTCTCAGGATGTTGTCTAGCAGTAGCAATAGTCTGAGATAGACCCTGGCTCTGAGAGGTGAGGCGTTTGATCCTTGGTGACAGATACCACAATCCGTGGCTGTGGCACATGGCACTGCTTGAGTATTCAGGTGGGAGGCTGGAATAGCTTTGAAATGAATGCTGGCAAAAGCCTGTACTGCCATGAACAGAATAATAAAGGTGCTTTAGGAGAAGGTTCTGAAGAGGATATCTACAGAGAGCGCTGAGACCTGCCCATCAGCCGGGGGCACGATCAGCACGTGGGCCGAGGCAGACTGAGCGCAGTGCCAACTCGATCTTAGGCAGAAATGAAAAGCAGGGCACTGCAAACCCTTGCTGTAAAGTGGCAGAGGCCGGGGCGGAAGTTTTGTGTCCTAATGCTTCCTAGAAAACATGGCCGACGACGAGCTAGAATACTTAGCAGCAGAAACATCCGAACAGAGTGCAAAAGGCCCTTGACTGCTCGGCAAAATCTGAGGTGAGAAAAATAAATCATAGGAAATGTCTGGTACAAAGGAAAGCAGAACTTAAAGGCCTGGAAAATTCTCAGCTTGGCCACTACAAGAATAACAAGGGGCCTTTGGAAGTGGACACCAAGGCTGTGGCCACAGAAACACTCCCCCAGGAGGTCAGTGTCACTAGGAAGACACGCAATGTCAGTCAGGACAATGAGGGGACTAGCGTAAAGCATTCAGGTGATCTAGGTGGCTGCCACTGTCACCGCACACCCGGAGAGCCAGGGCCTAGAGACAGAGCAGAGTCAGGGAGAACAGGAGGCCTCACGGCTGCTTGCCCGGCCCTGTGTCACGTCTCTGCTTGCCTGACGCTGCTCAGCACTCCCTGCTGTGAGGCAGCTGTGGCTCAGCTCACCACTCTGGAGGGCACAGGAGCAAATCTAGGCAGCTCCCGCATGGCACTAGCAACGCAAGTGCACAGGACACGCGGGATACGCAGGCGTGGCCACTGCCACTTAAAAGCTGCCCCTGCGAGCCCTGGGACCTGGCAGAGATGTGCCGCAGGGGCGGGCTACAGCAGAGTGCCGCTAGGGCCATGCCAAGAGGAGCCAAAGGGTTGGAGCCACTCCCAAGATGCCAGAGCGGTAGAACTGTGGGCCCCGGACCCCAGGGGTGAGAAGTGCTGCGTGGGAGGTGCCTAGAAGAGCCATGGCTCTCTCCAGGAGTCGGGGGCTCCGTTCTCGCCCCAGCGTATGTGGCAGGGGGACAATGTATCGAAGTTTCTCTCCAGAGCTCCAAAATGAAGAGGCTTCCTTGGGAACTATCATGCCCTTGTTATGCCCCCTTCCTGTCCCTTCTCAAAGGGGAATGACTGTCCTAGGGCTGGCCCAGCCCTTAGCTCGTGCTCGCCTCCCCTGCGTGACTGCACAGGCGCCCCAGCTGAGGAGCACCTTGCCTGAGGATGAGCAACACCTGTGGACTATGGCATGCCTGACCAGAAGCCAGGCCAGGGATGCCCTGCCTCAGAGTCCTGTCTAGAACAAAGATCAGTGCAGACCTGAGTAATGGATTTCTGGGATTAATCAGCTTAACCCAGGAGACCCAGATGGGGCTGGTTTGCTCCAGTGTTTCAAGACTAATCCCAGGCCATAAAGAAGCTCCAAGGCCACCTTCCAGGGCAGAGTCTTCCAGCATGACAGTGACGCCTGC